CAGCTCGGGGGGCTCCCGGGGGGCTCCCAGCGCTGTATCCCCGCTCCTGCACATCCCCCGGGCAGCGTGGTAAGGCCCAGCCGCTCCCTGTGCAGCACAGCCGCCCCCTTCCTTCCCCGGCCCTGTGTGGGGAGTATCCTTGATAGCTATGGGCAAGTTTAGGTGCAACACGTAACAGAGAATCACAGAATTAATTAGGTTGGAAAAGGCTTCTGAGATCGTCGAGTCCAACCGATGACCAAACACCTCCATGTCAGCTACACTGTGGCACTCAGTGCCATGTCCAGTCTTTCCTTAGACGCCTCCAAGGACGGCGGCTCCACCACCTCCATGGGCAGCCCATTCCAATGCATTTTCTGTGAAGAAATTCCTCCTAATGTCCAACCTAAACCTCCCCTGGTGCAGCCCTGTCCTGTCCTGGGTGTTGTGTCCATGCAGCACAGCAGCTGAGCAGGATGTGATCCCACTAGGAGCCCTTACCCTCACCAGCCATGGCATTTGAGCAACCTGGTCTAGTGGAAGGTGTCCCTGCCCATGGCAGGGGGTTGGAAGGGTCTGGTCTTCAAGGTCCCTTCCAACCCAAACCGTCTGTGACTCTGTGAATGGAGTCTGAGGGTGGTTTGTAATGCTGGGCTGACACCTGTGGTGGTTCAGGAGTGGTGAGGCCAGGCTGCTGTAGGGTTCCTGTGGGCAACTGCCTGCCCTGGAGAGGTGGGTGCTGGCTGCATGGAAAAGCTACAGTAGGAATAGTAGAACATGGATCGTAAGACCTGCTCTATTCTAGCTCCCCATGTTCATGCAGAGAGACAGAAAATCGAAATTGAGCCTCCTCCTTCACAAAGAAAAAGCGGTTCTCAATGGTATCCCTATTTATTTATTTTTCCCCTCAGAGTATCTGGTGCAGTTGGTCCCCAGAAACTTCTCGAGGGTAATTAAAGTGAGTCAGACTGTGGGAGCATTTGTTGTGCTGAATCTTATATTTCTCTTTCTACCCAGCTGAGTCAGAACAGCTGCTTAGCAAAAGATCTGAAGAGGTTTTGGAAGCAGTTAGAAAAAGAAGCAGGAAAGCCTGAGGCAAGAAAATGTGCCTTTATTCTGAAGACCCTCAAAATGCCTTCAGAGTACTACTTGTTTGTGGAAGCATTTTGCAAGAACCCTGGCATCACTTGGGTTATGAAGCTGGTAAGTGTGTGCTTTCCCAAGGAAAGTGAGAGATGAATGGATGCCTTCGTTCTGCGGAGGGAGAGGAAAATATGCAGGAAACCCGCAGGAAGAACTGGGCAAAGCAAGGTGCCATGGAGCAGCAGTGCTCCTGGCCAGGTTCCTGGTCAACATGTACCACCAAAACACTGCTTCTTGTGTAACAGTTCATTTCAGCAGCGGAAAGTCATCTCAGTTTATTTGTAGAGCCGAAGTTAACTCAGTGGTGAGGGTATAAAGTGCAGAGCTCGGTGTGGAGGAACAGAGTGTGCTCCCGGAGGTTCTGGCCAAGTTCATGCTCTGAAATCTTTCAGTTCTGCTGCAGGTGTGCAAGAAGGTGTGTGTGGGGGGGGAAAGTGTGCAGGGCAGGTGGTTAATTTGGCTTCTGGTTAATGAGCATTAGCCCCTAAAGAGGGATCTATGAAAACATCTGTTTGGTTTTAGGGAAATCCCACTGCATTAGATGTCAGCCAGTGTAAGTCTGGTGTAAGCTTACTGAGTGGAATTCTATCCTGAGAATGTGAAGACATTAAAAGAGACTCATTATCAGAGAATCTCAGAAAGGTTCGGGTTGGAAGGGACCTTAAAAACCATCTTGTACCAACCTCCTTCCACCAGCCCAGGTTGCTCCAAGCCCTGTCCAACCTGGCCTTGGACACTTCCAGGGATGGGACATCCATTAGCAGCCTGGAGCACGAGCTGGGGTAGGTTTGGTTGGAATGAGCTTCTCTCTGCTCTGAAGTTAGAGACATGAAGGGCAGCCTTGTGCTCTAAATCACGTTTGTCCCCCCAGACCTACAGCTGCCTGGAGCTGTGCTGAACACACCAAGTTCCACTTCAGCCAGTGACCTGGGGATTAAGGAAAAATTGTGCTTCCTTTAGAAATTCTGACAGTACAAAGTGACACTGAGAAATGCCTTTTCTTCTGCTGGAGGCTTCAAGCCATTTAATGTCTTGAGTGTTGTGCCATGGTGCCTAATTTAAAACACACCCATCCGTGAGCCCTGTGAGTGAGCAGTCCCTGTGCTTTGTGCAGCAGGTCTGGCGAGGAGGCTGGGACAGGAGGATTTGTCTTACCCTTGTGAGAAGTGACTGGGAGGTAATTATGCAAACTAACATGTGAATTACAGCCGGGAGGATAGCAGCTAGTGATTATCTAACTCTACAAATGGGAATGTGTTAATTGGCAACAAAACCCTTATATTAAGCTGATGTTATGCCCCACAACCTCAATTAACACGGTAAATAACCAGAACACAGTAAACAAGGATATATGAAAAGCCTGTGATTACTGAAATTATACCAACAGCATAAACAGTTTGTGGCTGACCTCAAAACTTGCAGGCAAGTAAAAATAAACCTCATGTTACTCCTTCTGGTGTTGTGATGTCCTGAGTTGCCCACTCCCACCCTCGGAGGCAGTAGTAGGTCAGGACGTGCCCAGTGTTGCATCCTGGGGCTGCAGGAAGCAGGACCTGCTTTGGAAGGTGTTCCTGGGCAGCTGCTCCTCGGGTGCCTTATCCGGGCCACTCCTCACCCTCTTTTGTACAACCCGCAGTCAAGGCCGTCTTCAGGATTTTTCTGCTCTTGTTTGCCATAGTTCCCCAATATCTTTCTTGACTTTCCTGTTTAATTAAGTTCTTCTATAACATACACAAATTTAAAATGGGACTTAAAATTCCCAACAACATATGTTGCGTTACGTATATTTCTGGAAGCGCGTGACAGAGTTTGTTTATTCGGTGCTGTGGGACTTCCCCATAGGCTGCCTTTCCTCCAGGAATCCTCCAAACACAAATCTGAGCTTTTTTTGTTGGATTCCCCTGCCTCCATAAACTTAAATAAACGTGCTTGCACACAAACAGCTGATGAATCAGGTTATGCAGGGCTTCTGCTCTGAAATGCTGGGAAACCACAGGAATTGCTAATGTTCATGCCACTAACTCTGCTCTTCCATCTGTAGGTTGGCAAGTCACAAGGTGAGGAAATGTTCCTGAAAGCTGAAGGATGTAATTGATTGAAGAAGGTGAGAATGACTCTGTCTCTTCTTTGGGAATATCCGAAGGGCATTTTGTTCTTTTTGCTTTTATTTCATCCTCTCCTTGTGCCAGTGACTTGGTCTGTTCTCCTGTGCCCTTCTGCTGCAATATTCCTTCACCATTCCCCAGGGCAACAACAAAGGCTTTTACAGTGGATTTTGCAAAATAGATACTTGCTCTGGGCTCTACTTCTCACACTTCGTGTACATATTTAGATACAAACTTTCAATCTCAGGTACATCTAACACCAGACAGAAACTGGATTATATTCTACATTTATATATGTAATATAAATATATTTTATATATAATATACATATATTTTATAATATATTTGTACTGTACATTCTTGGGGTGGTCATGCACAGCACCAAGAGCTGGACTTTGATTCTTGTAGGTCCTTTTCAACTTGGGATTTTCTGTGATTCCAAGATTTCTCTCCACTTCACAGGTTGGAAGTTTGACATGAGACTTTATGTTCCAGCAACAGCCGTAAGTGCAAACCACCATTGTTATGCCAGAAATGGATTTCCTTCACTTAATGCCCAGTTGCTCTTTTCCTCTTCTCCCAGTACACTCCTCTGAAGGCCTGGTTATGCTGAGGTGGATTTGCTTGCTTTTCTGATGCAGGATTTACTCAGAACAGCAGAGGTGATCGCTGTATCCCGCCTGTGCCATACAGAAGGGTAAGAAAAGGACTGTACAGTTTTACTGCCTGGTATTAGATACATCAGATGAACTTTGTCACTTCCAGCTCCTGCAAACACCTACAGGACTCGGCTGTCCCATCGCTGCTGTTGTCACCCTGTCTTTCTCCAGTCCTTTTTCACTGGAAAACTGGTGTCACCAGATCACTGGAAATGTCAGTTTGACAAATCAGCTCGGAAAAAAGCTGAAATGTCACTCCTGGTTTTATTGTTAGTGGTTGAATTTTGGCAGCCTTTCTTCTTCCTCGGGTTCACAGAACGTAAGGACAAGGTGATTCACGGGGGAGAACTATTTGATTTCCAGTGTGTCACACTTGCTGCTGTATTGAGTTTGATAGCTTTCATTTGATTAACACATCTTCCCAAAAGGTATGCCGCCTCAATTTGATGGCTTAGGAGACAGGAAAATCCATCACTTCTCTCTGAGAAGGTTCAGAAGAGTTCATGCTTGCTCTGAATGATCAAAAGCCTTTACAGAGTGGGGGTGCAGCAGGTTGCCTTAGGGAGAAGGTACACTGAGGTTTGGAGACAAGGTGACATGAAGAGTTTCATGGAAAACCATGGAATCGTTTGTTGTGGGAGGGTCTTAAAGCTCACCTCATTCCAACCCCTTGCCACAGGCAGGGACACCTTCCACTAGCCCAGGTTGCTCCAAGCCCCACCCAACCTGGCCTTGGACACTTCCAGGGATGGGTGTTACACAACCCACCTCTGAGGTGGTAACTGAGGTTCTTGTTAATAGAATAATAATAATAATTCACCCTCAGGGTGAATTGGAGTGAAACGACACTGAATGACCCGTGTACATCTACGAGGCAGGTTTATATTAGAACAATTTAATTGCAGCAGAAAGGAGATGTGCAACCATTGTGGTTCTTTTCTATAAAAATATAAAGATATCACAAAGAAAATAGATAAGAAGGAAAGAGAAGGAAAGGGCAAGAGTAGATAGTGGTGAGGAAAGGTGTCACCTCCCATGGATCCAGCAATGACTTATCACTGCATTTTCCATGTCCGTGATCAGAGTGATGGTCACAGTCTTGACCTGTTGGGAGTGGGGGCTCATGTGACAAGGATTTGCACGGGTTATATATGTTCAGTCTCTGGGGGATGCCTCGATAGCTCCCCTAGCAGGGGAATTTTACACTGTAAGATGCAGCTGTGCCTTATCGGGAGGAGGAAATTGGCATGAAAAAAAACATTACCCCACCTCTGCAGGCTCTGCTCCTTATCAGCCTTTTCCTTTATCTGGAAACACTTTGTTGAAGACATCAGTCCCAGGTTATCAGGGAAACAAGAGATCAAAGGACTCAACCAATTTATGTAAGCAAAGTTTGGTTTATCACAGCGGGGCATTCCGGGCATTCACAGCTTCTCTGGGCAACCTGTGCCCAGGGCAACTGCTCTTTCCTTTTCTAGTTACCCTTCTTGATTACTTCTGATTTTTAAGGGTTTTTTTCTGCAATTTTTGGTCAGACAGCATAATGGAATGTTGGATTTCAGCTCAGGTGTCTGAAGACAGGGAAAATAATTAATTGGTGCTGAGGTACACAAAGATTGTTGGAGTGAGAATTGTGCATTTGCCTGAGCAGTGTTTGCTTGTCTTGGATCCTTATCTCTACTTCATCCCAGATGTTCCAGTCACAAAGGTGGCAGCGCAAAAGACTGCACCTGACTGATCCAGGGCAGGTGAGGGGGACATGCTGCCTGCAGGCTATTCCCTGCTGCCTGCTGCTGTGATCTCTGGCAGGTGCAGGCAAGGTGACCTCACCCTGCCAGCTGCCATGTGTGCTGCAGCCACTCAGTTGTGCTGCCTCCTCTCCTGACACCCATCCGTGTGATTTCCTTGGGAGCAGCATTAGGAGTGAGCCTGGGCCAGTGTTCTGCTTTAATGTGCATTTATAAGGTGGAGCTTTTTGACTTTAAACCCAATAACTTTCTGGTTAATGCACTTCTGAGAGGCAGATACAGCTTAGCCCTTTGTCTCTGAGACCTCAGAAGTACAGCAAGGCTGGCACTGCTGCACACAGCTGTCACTGTGAAGCTGCCTCTCTCAAGAGGTGACAGCTGAGAGGAAGAGAGAGAGAGAGAGAGAGAAAGAGGGGAAAATATTAAATGGGATGTCAGATTCCTCATGAATCTGAGACGGAAATCGGTGTTAGAGGATGGTCTTGAACTTCCCATTTTATGGGCTGCTCCCTTCTATAAATCCCTCTTGTCAGTAGGGAAAGGAGAGTCTTTGCAGTACCCTGAGAGCAGAGGAGATGTCAAGTGCTGCTGGGGAACTTCTGATGGGGGCCTGGGGACTGTGTTCTCCTGCAGCTGTACAGGAGGCAAGCCTGGAGAGTTTATGTGGCATGTGGGCTTGGTGGCCCCAACCTTCTGGTCTCTGGCCTTTTACTCAGAATTCTCACTGGGCTGCGGAGGCTGTGGTTGAAAACAAATCACGTGGACTAAATGTGTGGTCATCTGTTGGGAATACCTTTGTAAAATTGTTTGGATGTCTCAGGGCTGCAGGTGGGTGATGGAGCAGCTCAGACAGCGCTCAACCCCTAAGTGACAAACAAGAAAAACCCCTTGAAAACAAAATTTTACTTTTTTTTTTTTAAATACAGGTTTTCTCCCTGACTAAGCGAAAAATATTTATAATGACAGTTCAGCTGAAATTCTCTGAATTTTATCTTGCTACTTACACAACTCAAGCATTGCAACAGCAGGAACCCAAGAGTGCAACTGCCTTGTCATTGCAGGAGCTGAGAGAAACAGAAATAGCAAATAGTACTACAGAAATGACAAGCAAAAGTAGGATTATTATTCTTTCAGCCTTAATCATGTAAAGTGCAAGCAGTACCGTAGGTAGGACAATTTCCCTTAGATGTGATTTACGTTGCTGGTGCTCTCTTATGAAATGTTGTCTCTAATTTCTTTTTTTAACTCTTTCTTCTAACAAGATGCTCACTGGTGTTATCTGTTACAGCCCTGTGTCCTGTCAGCTTCAGCCCAATATTTCACATGGTGCCACTGGGGACAGCTTTATTTCAAATGAGCAAATAAATGCAGCTCAGCTTTGGTCAGGGATAGCTCTAACATGCACAATCTACTCCATTCACAACCTCAAACAACATTTCTGCTTAGGCAGCCTCCAGGTAAAGAGCTGGAGTAACCTCAGTTGGTTAGGAAGGAAATTAATTGGAATGAAAGTCCTTGATGTCATCACAGTGCTGCTGGGCTCTCAGAGAGAGATTTGAACACTATGCTGGGGACCTGTTCCCCACAGACACCCACATCTGCAATTAAAAAGGGTTAATGCTCATTCTGTGAATCCTTCTCAGCATTTACTGCTTCAGCATGACTTTGGTTTTCACTTTTCTTTCTGGAAGGCAAAGGGATTTTTTTTTTGTCTTTAGTACCGTCAAGAACAGGAATAGAAACTTTGCAATAAGCTCAGAATGTTCTTTGGCTCAGAACATGGGAAAGAGATTTAGGGTTGGATTTCCTATTGCTTCACACTCATTCCTGCATGCTAGCAGGGTAATGATTTTGGGGAGGCATTTCTCTTAATGAGCCATTGGTAAAATGTCCTGTTTCCCCCTAATTTACTGTTGTAATCTCTGCTGGTTTCTGGAGGTAAATGCTTCACCTTCCCTCCTGCCAGTAACCAGGAAGACTGAACTCCAGCGTCATCTTTTCAAAGACACACTTTGTTTTGTAGACAGGAAGAGCGGGGAGGTGAAGATGTTTATCACTTTCTGAGGAGTTTTATTAGAATGTTTGGGATGGATGGTCTGGTTCCACGACTTTCTTGGCAACTGATCATAATCCTCTAACCTTTATAGTGATTAAATGATGAATATCCAGAAGCAGAGCAAAGTAAAGAAGCATTCTGCCCCTTCAGAGTGGGAAAACAAGGCAGCACAGGGCTGCCAAGGGACTGGAGCCCATGTCAGAGCTGGGACTTGTACAAGAGCTCTCTGTCAGAGGTCCCTGTGCACTGTGCCTCCCACTCATACCACTGCTGGAGCACTCTGTTCCCAGCAGCTGGTCTTACAGTGTTTTTTGATTGACTTTACAACTGTGCAAACCCCAGATATTAATAGCAGAGAGATGTCCAGTGCCTTCAGCTGTTCAGCTGTGTTGCTGGTTGTCTGGGAGCTGATTCCTGCGTGCAGACAGGGAACTGTCTTTGCTCAGGTACTTCAGTCCATGGGTTTGTTGTAGGCTGACATGGGAGGAGGAGGATGTTGGAGGCTTTGACCTGATCTGGAATGACAGGCCTGTCAGCAGAGGGGGAGATCTGTGTGCTCTGTTGAATGAGAACATCACAGCAAACACACATTTCGGTGCAGAACTCACGCAATGCTGGCAGGTGCCCTGCTCAGTCCTGAAGCTGTCTGCACAGCAGCAGGAGAGCACACACCTTTGCTGGGCAACAAGAGAAGTGTGAGCCCTTAAGGGATTAAGAGACCAAAAGGAGCAAACGCTTTCAAAAAAGAAAACACCCTGCAGTCACTGTGGTGACTGTTTATTGGGCATTTACCTGAAGCTGGTTGTGTATTTTATTGTTGGGAAGTAGTACTTGGATTGTCCATGCTGACAGGCATTGTAACCTTTTGCCATGCACATCTCAATGTGCCTACAGTCATCTCTGGCTGTGGTGTCTAACTAACAAAACACGAGGGCAGCATCACCTGAAAGTGAAACATCACCTCGCCTCTACAGGCAGGAAGAGGCAGGTGATGTGTAACTCCCCTGTTAACATTTTCCTGGCAGGCTGCTGTGATGCCAGGAAGAGACAACTGAAGCAGCTTTTCAGGAATTTCCCTGCACAATACAAAGTGCAACACCCCCCGAGCTTGGGGTGGGAGAGACATGAAGTTCACTCTCCCCTCATGTCGGGCAGCAGCAGTTCCCACTTCTCTCCAGACACCACTGGCTCAGCACAAGGCACTGGCTGCCTTGTTTCTGAGGGTTTCCCAGTTTGGAAGCTGCAGTGGGCTTAAATGAGGCATTTTAGCTGACACAGGGATGCTTGGCTGCTCAGCCAGCCTTCTGCACTGCAGAGCTTAGTTCTGTTCCGTGTAAGAAAACAAAGGGGTTAAACACATTCTTCACAGCAAAACAAAGCTTTTAGGGCAGGCAGGCACTTGATCCTCCTCCTGCTACTACTATGGAAACATGTCAGAGCAGAAAACCTGTTGCCATGAGACTGTAAAAATAACCTCACCATCACGTTACGGAGCCACGGACTGGCTGCACCACACGGGTTATGTAAGAGCTGCTCTGACACTGGGATGTGGCACTGTGAGCTGGCTCTTGCTCCCAGGAGACAGGCAATCTTCTGAAAAACCCACGGGCAAGGCAGTCCAGGTAGTAAGTCTGTGTTATTTTTAGTCTGTGCATCTGAAATGTAAGCCTGAACTGGACAGAGGCACATCTAGGTACATGGTGTGAGTAAGACCAAGCAATGGTTGGGTTTTTAGGTTAAAAGAAATCACCCCTCGGTTTTAATGGATCTGAAACAGGGTATTTTTTGGAAGTCTGCATAATCTGCAGTGTGTGTGGAACTGGCCAGGGCAGGAGAAGGCCCTGCTAAGCTGGAAGGTGGTCAGGGAGCCAGGGAAATGGTGGTGTCATGTTTGAAGTTATCACGGCTGTGCAGAAAGAAAGAAAGCAAAGGACCAGGCCCAGCCCTGTCACCTGAGCAAGGTTTGACAGAAGAGGAGAGCCATTTCCAGAGCTGGAGAAAAAAGGACAACAGCCACGTTTAGAGTTCTTAAATTCTATCTAGGAATATCTTTACAGAAGTTCAAAAAATAAAAGGCTTGGCTGGACCCAGATACTTCCCTGTAGACAGAAAAAAATCAAACTCACTGAAGTCCAACACTAAATATGATTAGTTTTTAAAAATCTTCTCATGCTCTTAAGTGAGTAGTGCTGGGGGAGCATATTCAGGCCAGAGCAGGGAGTGTAGAAAACAGTAAATTTAAAAACCTTTGAAGAAACTATTACTGGTTACTATCAATTGCCCTTTTACTACAAGACAAACCTGGTGACTATCTCTGCTCAGCCCTCCTCAGGCTGCTTTTTAAAATATACCTGTTTTATCACTTCATCTAGTCCTGAAAGCCTCGTTTATGTTGTCTCTTGCCTTCCACCAGAGGAATATGTTTTCCCAGCAAGACTAAAAGGATGCTGCCTCCTCCTGCCCCTCCCTCCACATCTTAGAGAGATTCCTGACGTGCCTCAGATTTACAACTTTGCTTTGTTTGAATGCCATGGGCGTGCACAACTCAACTCCTCTGCTGTGCTTCAGGCATGCAGTGGATTCCCAATCCCTCCTACTCCTGTTCCCGACGTGACAATGAACCAGCTCCGAAGCCAAACCCCAGAAGCGCTCACATGAACCCCCAACAAGGAACATACACACGGAATCAGGAATGTCCCACTGCTCTGATTTTAATGATCCCACCTCCACCCCAGCCACGGGCATTTGCCCGGCGCTGTGTCCAGCACGTCTCTGACACCCGAGTTCCAGCACAGAGCAGGAAAGGGTTCATGATCCAAGGAAACTGCAGTGTTGTAGCTGAGGAGCCAAATGCTTCCCAGGGCTCCACAATGTCCTGCAAACCCTGAGGGCTGTGGCTTTTGCAGTGTGAGCCCCCTGGTTACAGTTCAAACATGTGCTGTGACAATGGCACGGCCACCTCAGCCCTCCAGGATGCGGTTGATGAGCTTCATCTCCTCAGCAGACATTGGATTCAGGTTAAACCCCTTCAGCTCAGGTTTACCTGGGAGAATGCACACAAAAATCAGGATTTTGTCAGAAAAGAAGTGAAGCAGTTCATGTTAAACTCAAGTGGGGCTGCAGGGAGGGCAGGGACAGCCCTAAAAGCTGAAGTGGGGTCGCCCCAGCGCACTGTGGGAGGTGGTTTAAGGTGCTGGTGGGTGACAGCTCCTCATGGAGCTGGACAAGGCTGCTGGGTCAGGGAGGGAATTGCAAACCCAGTGGGCAAGCAGCTGCAGGAACACACAGAGCTTGGGAATTTCTGGCCCTCCTGCTGTGTGTCTGCTCCCAGGCCCTGAGAAGGGTCCAGAGCGGGAGCATTTACCTTGAGCCTCGTAGAGGCGGTTGACCTTCACACGCAGATCTTTCCGGAGCTTGTTTATCTCCTCATCCAGCTCTTCCTGGTCTGGAATGAGAGAGTGGCAGTGAGGAGGACTGCAGTGGGCTCTGGGGTGGAAGCTCAGCCTCCCATGGGGCACTCAGTGGAGGAGCCCACCCTGGGGATCCCACCCTGCCCTCAACACCCGCGAGCGGTTTCATGCTGGATGTGCTTCCCAGGGCACAGCATGGGTCAGGATCAGCCTGTGACTGCCCATCTCAAAGCTCAACCCTGGAGAGAACCCTGTTTATTTTTCAGGAGCACCTCTCCTGTGAGGAAAGGCCGAGAGAACTGGGATTGTTCAGCCTGGAAAAGGCTCCGGGGTGAGCTAATTGCAGCCTTCCAGTACCTGAAGGGAACTTCCAGGAAAGATGGGGCAAAACTATTTACAAGAGCATGGAGTGACAGGACAAGGGTTCAAACTGAAAGAGAGTAGGTTAAGATTAGATATTAGGAAACAATTAATTACTGTGGGTGGTGAGGCCCTGGCACAGGTTGCCCAAAGAAGCTGTGGCTGTCCCATTCCTGGAAGTGTCCAAGGCCAGGCTGGATGGGGCTTGGAGCAACCTGGGAGAGTGGGAGGTGTCCCTTCCCATGACAGGGGATTGCAACGAGATTGAATCTTGAAGGTCCCTTCCAACCCAAGCCATTCTATGACCTTATAACTTTTCTAACATCTTGTTGATGATGGTTCCTGTTAAAATGGTTGAGGGGCTACACGGAGCCCTCGGGGCTGCCTCACCCTGCCGCAGCATCTCCCGGGTCTTCGCCTTCGGCAGCTCGATGAACATGCTCCCGAAACAAACCATGGCCTTCTCTGTGGGGAGAGGAGCAAAGGGACCGGGAACGGGCTGTCAGTGGAGCCTGTCCCGGACACGCGGGGGCACGGCAGGCATCGCCAGCCCGGCCTCACCCTCGGGCTCCGGGTCCTTCTGTAGCGCCCGCAGGGCCTCGCGGTTCCGGTTCCGCTTCACGTCCAGGTCCACGATCTGCAGCGGCAGAGGGAGAGAGAGGGGCAGGGGCGGCCGGAGCTCGGGGCT